CAGGTGATACCACACTATTTATTGGTATTTAGGAGCAAATACTGTACAGCAGTAGAATCACAAGGTTGATAGAACTGTAGGGTTCAAAGTCAAATACACCCCGATGTACAGTGAGCTACATCCCCACACATGCTTTTGAATTGGCACTAGGAATTAGCTGAGCCCATTGGGCAATATTAGGATTAGGATAAAACCTAATGCAGTCCTATTTGACACTGAGCTACATCCCCAATCATGGTTAGAATATCCTGGTCGTCCTTCCAATTGATGGTATCGAACCCACCATTGTAGGTCCGAAGGACCTCAAAGAAATTCGCGGTCGCAAACTCCGACAGTGTTTTCGGCGGCGAGCGATGCGGTCCATTCCGCTTCCGACGCCACGTCCACTTCCATGGACATATGTGTATCCGTAAAAGTGTCCTCGGCGTCCATGTCTACCTCCCCCTCGTCCTCGAATACACTAACGTGCTCGCTAGGGGCTGATCGAGATGAGTGGGATGGCTCTTCGGGCCGAATGGAACGTTGAATAGAGGATTGGAATGGCCGTGGGGAAGGTACAATGTCAGAGTTACTACTCTCGGTTGTCTCCGTGTTTTTCCTTGATTGCGTAGCATTCGTGACTTTTTGTGCCTTTTTCGGCGCGGCCACAGTGGTATTTAGAAGCCCCGAGAGTTTTGTTGTATTCGTGTCAGCGATATCGCTATCGTCTGTTTCCTCGCGTTACCGCTTTGCCTCGATGTCGACACAATGCGTTGACCCTCCGTTAACACTGCGGAACGCGGTCCCCTTAGTGCCTTTGAAGTACACGCGGTAATAGAACCTCTGGTACTTAATTTGGTTGATGGGTTCTCCGTTTATCTGCAGTTGGGCAGGGATCGCCGCATCCGTGAAGTAGACACGCCATGTGTTCGTGTGGCATCCAGTTCCAGGAAGGACCGCACAAACGCTGTGGTAGACCACATCCACGCCGAGCTGGGTCAGCTTGCGGTAGAATTGCGTTGCGTCAAAGTTGTCACGGATTCCAGTATTGTCCATGAAACAAAGAGAGTCCAATGGCTGCTCCTCGTGCACAGGGATGATGTATTTTTTGCCCATAATGGACAGGTACTGTCCTCCAAGTGCTTTGAGGGCATTGGAAGATGTCACTGAAACCATAATTCCACCACGTCCGAGTCGAGTGACTTGGACGAACTCAGACAGTAGCGACTTCACCGTGTCAGTTTGCGTACTAGCAAACAGCGAGGACATAATTGCCTCGTGCGACTGGTTAGCAAGCGCGTCACCAGTATCAACCGTGAAACGAGCCATGGCCACCTTTGGGGTGTAGGGCCTAGCCAGGTTGATCTTTGCAAGAATGTCCACGCGATCTGTCAGCTCAAAAAGGATCGCTTCGATGGCGTCGGCTGGGGTCGGGACAAATGCAGCCTTGGTGTGCTGCTTAGCAGCAGCAGTGAACCCACGAATGACCTTATTGTAGTCCAGTGGATTGCGGTTAGCACCGCTCGAGGCTGCAGGTCCAGAAAGTGCAGGCGGTGTCGACTGTACTTCGGTTGCGTTAGCCAATGGGGAAATTCCAGGAATTATCCCTGCGTTTTGATCACCGATTGGCTGGGGTCGACCAACGTCAAAATTCCCAATTGGTTGGTTAAATTCGGAATTTCACAAATCGCGATTACTGATTGGTTGAAATTCCAAATCAGAGCTCGCAACACGTAAATCGAAGTTTCCATCTTCGAATTCGACAGGCAACAACGACGGCGTTGGCGGCATCGACGGCGGCAGCGGCGTGGTGCGCGACGGAGCCACCGGTCCAGGTAGACATGTAGGCTCGCTGGCCCGAGTACGAAGGCGCTGAGGACCAGGCGGAGGCCAATCGCCACCAGTGGACGAGTGGGCTGCCACGTCGGCATCGTCAGGCGGCGCGGCGGTCGGCGGCAACCGCAAAGTCGAGGCAGATAGTTCCAGGAACCATGGGACTCATTGGGACCTTGGAGTAGGTCTCCTGAGTGGTTCCCAGAGGGTTCAAGCAGCGGGCGTGGGTTGGGGGCGGTGGAATTGCGAGCAGCGTACGACATGATCGACCGATAGGAAAGGGTACGTTTCTACTGACTACGACAGGCGAGGCTAATAGAAAAGTGGGGGGATACCTACGTTCCAACCGAGAATTCTGCCAGAGGAACAACGAAACCAATGCATCACTACGATGCAAGTGATCGACAACAATGTGACGTTCGACGTCGAATTAATGACGATTGGGCGACTACATTTGATACTCGAGGACTCAATCGAACTGCTCCAAACCGAGGACCTCGCGGACATGGAACGTACCTTTGCTGAGGCTGTTGCGGACGGTCTCGGTAGCATAACGGAACATGTGAACACAGGCCAAGCGGACAAAGTCTGGGCCCAGGTGCAAAAGAAGCACCTGTAGGCCAACGTGACGCTGCATGGCATGGCTGTCTCGGACCCTACAATGTTTGAGTCGGTAATCCAGCTGCACACATGGCAGCGATGGTTTGCAGCATCAACCGACACAAATGTACAATCATTCTCGAATACGTACAAGCAATTGTATGGGAGTATAAAGCTTGGGTTTGCCCAACTGTACTACCACCACCGTGGGGAGATCAAAGCTGGCACTGCCGCAGGGTCGACGGAACCCTTGACATCCACACAAATCCTGGTGGAGGATGCTCTATCACTATTCGAACTTTGGTTGAGTATCATGGCGCCTACCTTTTTCAAACGCGACGCGTGGGTGTTGTGCTTGACGGGAAAACCTGTCATTTGGCTCACCACAGGCACCGCGCGTCTACTCACTCCGAACACATTGCTGCTAATTCTGCGCTCGGCACTGGGGAACAGTGTGTTGCAACGTTTGGTGAGACACTTACCTGACCACGCCCTGGTACAACAGCTAACGGTCATGTCCGAATGGACTCACGTTTATGGGGAAGATCAAACGCTGTCGGTACGCCAAGAAGGAACAGACCGCGTCCTGCGCTTGGTCCAACTGGGTCTATCAGGCCTAGCCAGTCGGGGCTAAGTTCCGCCTACCGTCCTACCGCAATCACCCCATCCCGTCCATGAAACTCCTTACCTGTAATGCCAATGGCATCTCGCCTGTTGATAATGGCCACACTTTTGTCGAACGCGTCGTGCGTGGGGCAAACGTCGTAGCGATACAAGAAACAAAACTCAAGAACAGTCATCACCTGTCCACATTCACCTACCACATACAACACGCAATCGGACATGGCAAATATTTCATTGCCGTGAATGACCTGCGCGTTCACCCCGATTATATCCCCGCCCATGGTGACGACCCAGCGCACCGCAGCGGTGGTGTTGCGCTGGTGTTCAACGACACGGTCCCTGGGTTTCACGACCTCCGCCACATGTCGGAACACGACGTCGCCTATAAATACATGGTGGTTAGCACGCAATGGCAGGAGACACCCGTATACTTCCACTGCGTATATGCGCCTGTTCGAACGGCAGAACGGGCCGCGTATTTTGACAGCCTACCACGCGACTTCCCTGAGGATAGTATTCATCTGGTCATGGGAGATCTGAACCTACCGATGGATTTATACCTCGACGTGGAACGTCAACATACCCGACCACAACGTGGGTCGAGTCAACTGTCATGAGTGGCTTGCAGCGCTTCGGGTGACGGACGCGTGGCGTATGCGCCATGACGACTCCAGGACCTATTCGGGACCACATAAACGGACCCGATTAGACTACATCCTTGCAGATACGTACCTGGTACGAGACTGCTCCGTCTCAAGCGGTTATCAACGGCCGGATGCGCATGTAGCGGGAGATCATGCGATTCACACGCTAGTCCTAGAAGACGTACATCAGACCATGGGTAAAGGGTATTGGAAAATGCCGAAAGAGCTAGTATAGTACCCCCAAGTGCGAGAGGCAATCGCGACAGAGGCATCGCGATTACTTCATTACATTCGTACCGCACATAATCCTGGTGTCGTGTGGCACGCCTGGAAGAAGAGAACCCGGCGGTTCCTGCAGGACGCCCATCGCTTTGTCAGATCACACTACATGCGGGAAAAGGCGACCGCCGCAGGGAGATTGACCGAAGCGCGGCGCCTACACACTGAAGGTCACTCTACAGACCAAGAATCTCGCGGAGGAAGAGAAAATCTACGTTGAGACAGAGGATTTGTGGAAGTTGTACTACTCTGACCTTAAATTCGACGTGCATGCGGGCAAGAATGAGCGTTCAACGGCCCATTTCTTCCGCCCAGCGACTAAACTGCTCTACAAAACACCAGTTAGATCAGTGAATCAACGCGATGGAACAGTGTCGACGGACCCGGACGCCATTCAACGTGAATTCGTGGACCACTGGACACGCGTCATGCGTGACGACGATCCCGCCCCACCGAATCGCGCTGCCCGCCGCCGCGCTTCCTGCGAGTCCTACAAAAACGTTTGACAGCGGAGGATCGGGACGCATTGGAGGAGGACATTACCGGATCAGAGCTACAACGCAGCATTGAAACAATGGCGCCACATCGTACACCGGGACCTGACGGGTTTTCCGCTTGCTTCTACCAGGTGGCTCCTGCGGTGTTTGGAGAAATCCTGTCCATTGTTTTCAATTTCCAACTGAATCGTGGCATAGTTTTGAAATGTCAGCGTACCAGTGAGGTAGTGCTGCTGTTCGAAAAGAACGACCGGGTCGACCCTGGTAACTACAGGCCGATTAGCGTGATGCCTGTAGAGGTCAAAATCCTCTGTCGTGCGCTTGCTCACCGCTTGTCCTCGCTACTTCCACGACTCGTGCGGCCGGCCCAAAAGGGCTTTGTCCACGGGCGGCGGCTACACGACCGCACAGTGTTCATGTTAGACCTACAACACACGTGCACAGTGCGCAACCAGGAGGGATATGCTGCCTTCCTGGACTTTGCCAAGGCATACGACCGTGTCTCGTGGACCTACCTGTTTGACACGTTGGACACGTTTGGCTTTGGACCTAAGTTCATGGCATGGATTAGACTGTTGTATACGAATCCATTGGTACACCTACGAATCAACGGGATAAAATCGACGCCGATAGATCCCAATCACGGGGTGAAACAGGGCGACCCGCTGTCGTCGCTGCTCTTTGTATTGACACTCGAGCCACTCAACCAACTCCTACACAATCACGAGGAGTATGGAATAGAATTAACCATGGACCACACCGCGACGACGCTGATATTCGCCGACGACACGACCTTGTTGGCGGCGCGCATTGCTCACCTACAAGCGCAGCTGGAGTTAGTCAACCAGTACTGCGCTGTGTCAGGAGCCAAACTGAACATAGACAAAACGGCGATTCTGGTGTTAAACTCCAACTAACCAATACCGTTCGTCCATGGCCTGTCGTTCGCCGCGTCTGGTCGGCCGATTCGTTACCTCGGCATCTTGTTGGGACACAACCTACCAGCGGGATACCAAATTAACAGACTCACAGATAAACTATACGAAACCTTTCGTATCTGGGGTTGTCGCGCGCGCACACTGAACGGCTGACGCCTGCTGGTCCAGACAGTTATCCTGTCCATCTTGTGGCACTTCACGGCAGCGGTGGTCGTGCCGCCAAAACAGATCGCACCCTGGCAATCGCTGGTGAACAAATTCATCCAGAATAGAGTTGTGGACCCTACACATAAGACTGTATCACTGATGCAAGCGGACATCAATATGATAAGTCAGTAGGGTGGCGAGTACCTCATATCTCGTCCATCATCGCGAAACAGACAATCAGTGGGCATGTTTAGCACACGGAATGTTTGATGCAGCACTCGAACCGGGTAATCGACCAGATCGGTTCGATTTCTTGCACTATCGACCCAAAACGCGCAGCGCTGCCCACCGCATCGCAATGGTGTCTCCACTATGGAATGATATCTGGAAAACATGGCAGTGCCTTCCAGTGGATAAACGCATCCAATCCAAACCTACACTGGCACAACTATGTGAGATACCGGTCTGGCGTCAAACTAACCCGTTGTTCCGCGTCCTCCCGCACGAAGCGGCCCATCGATCACCCTTCTCTCATCCTTTCGCCATAAGGGCAAGGAGTGGTATAAACACATGATGAGATCGGGTTTTCACTGTCTAAAGGATTTTCTTACCCCTGCTCGTACGTGGCCAACTGCCGACGAGTTCGACGACATCGTTGTACCTGCAATAAGACGATTGGAGTATAATGAACCAGTACCATACTCACTGGCACCAGTATACCGCCGACTTACCATCATCGCACGGCAAGTCTATGACTATGCGGGCCATGAATTTAAACATGCCGTACCACTCGAGGTCCCTTGGCGTCTTCCGTTTAACGCGTCCTACCAGGATACGATAACGGAATTTCGGGAATGGTCGGCAACATATCAAATGGGCGTGTTATAACCCACCCGTAACCACCCCATGCTAAGTGCACACGGCACTATGGAGAATGTGGCAACGTACCTTAAACTGTTCCGCCGCTCTGTCGCTGTCGCCACTCCCATGCAGGCTGATGTTTGGAACCGTCTGCAATACCGTGTCCTGGCGGTGGGCTACTGTTTCTACTACATGTAGTTAGTAAATCCCAGTTGCATACAATGCCCCTATCGTGATTACCACGCCGTCGAAGCTATCGAACATGCCCTGCGCACCTGCTCCCACGTCAAGCCGCATTGGGACATCGTGTCCACTCCTTGGCTACAATTTGGCCTGAGTTTCGAATGTATGTACATTCTGGATATAACCAAACTACAACCTGCCCAAGACTGGTCCCATGTGGCCACCGAGCTCATTGTACTGTGAACGATGCTCGCCGGTGGCGTGCTGAGACACTTGTCGATCTACCGCAACACAGTGAAGCACAATCTCCATATACCGTCCGTGCTGGAACTTGTTCTGCTCAACTGGTCTGCCCAAGTACGCCGTCACATTCAGCTACCGTCGACAGTTGACGACGAACGAAACCGCTTCCAAGCCATCTTCAACCGCCTTGTTCAAGACCCCAGCTACCGCGGTTTCTGGACAAAATATCCGCTCCAATTATTGGTCAATCCATTGACGAGGCGCTTACCTCTCAAGTGACACCGCTCTATTTATTTTAGGAAATACTGTACGGCAGTTGTACCACTAGGTTGATAGACCTGTAGGGTTAAAAGTCAAATACACCCCGATGTACAGTGAGCTATATCCCTAATACGAAGGTACCGCTAGTCCCTATGTCCCTGCCATGCTAGAGCTCGTCCTCCTGCAGTGGTCTCTACAAGTCCGTCGGCATGTACAGCTTCCAACGACGCTGGATGATGAGCGAACTCAAATCCAGACCGTCCTGCGCCATTTGGTCAACATCCAAGTTACCACGGTTTCTGGTCAAAATATCCCCTGCACTTTTCGTCAATCCGCTACTTCGGGGGTTACCGTTCAGGTGATACTACACTATTTATTGGTATTTACTGTTAGGAACAATACTGTACAGCAGATGAATCACAAGGTTGATAGAAAGAACTGTAAGGTTAAAAGTCAAATACACCCCGATGTACAGTGAGCTACATCCCCGTCGATACTAATATCCATATTACATTTGATCACTATCAATATTAGTAGTATTAATACATATTATTACATACTACGTAGTACTAGTACGTATTAATACATAATATCATAACATATTATCATACGTATAGCTAGCATTACGTATGATACTAGTATTATGAACATGCACATGATGCTCCTTTAGAATGGCTGAGGGTGCATGTGGTAACATTTCAAAAATAATATTCCATTTTCTCGCAAAATGGGATTAACCAAAATGCCATTTTCAAAATAGCGGTAAAATGTCTATTTTGTAATACAGAACTATAATAGTATTGCGTTTTGGACCGCTTCAACGAGTAAATCGCTCGTGGAATTGTTGGATTTGGGTTAAATCTCTTCCAGAGAGACATGTTTCCATTTTGATCAGATATGTTGAATTCGGCCCCAAAATGGCGTTTATGGACTGAATATCGTAATATTTCATGTTGCCAGACAGGCCCTAAAGCTTGAAACTCTATGCTAATAATCAATTGAAGCCATTTTATAACCTGTTCCGACTAAAACTAACAGTGCACCTTTTGCATAATGGGCCAGCAGATTAACGTTATACTAATCCCTCTAGTTTATGTATTCGTGGAGCAGGAGGCAGGTAGATCAGAGCTTTCATACCAGTGTCTATCTACTAAGATTATACAGATACTTAATAGTAATATAGCAAGCTACGGTAGCTAAAACATGCTTCTCCATTTTTGTTTCTAGGCGGGACGATGAGTGTTGGTCGCTAGTTTATAATTCGTATTGGTCGGTGCACTGTACAGTACATACTGTATACCGATTGTCAAAACAACTTATTCAGGACATCGAGGTCGTCGGGGATGTCCTTTGTGATGTGGGGCGGCGGCAGGTCTACCATTGAGATCATGGACCGCCGTCGTCGCTGTGATAACCTCGTCACACTCTCGTGCCGCTTGAGATGGCCCGGCAGCAAGATGGTTTCTGTCGGTCCTTGAAGCCGTTCGCGTCCAGGACGCACATCTTGGAATCCATCCATGGACCTCGACAAAGAAGGCGATGCTGTTGCTGCCATCATGGTCGAGACGGGTCGAAGGGTGGGAGAGAAACACTCGGGCGCTAAGGGCGTGCCCAGACATGTCCGACACAGACTCAGCATCACCGGTCCGTGCTTTAGCGGCACCGCCTTCTTCTCGACGCATCGGGCACACACGATTTCCCCGCACATGCGGCAGTTGTCTGGGGTTCTACCCCCGAGGAACCCGAATGAATCGGCCCCACATACATGGCATTCCATGCCGAGGCGGTAGTTTTTCACTTGCAGGTCGCTCAAGATGAAGTCGGAAATGCGGCCCAGTTGGCGACTCTCAAAGAACGACTGCATGCGACCTAGCGCGTTGCCCCAGTTTTTCAATGTACTGTGCGCCATGAACGGCCGTGACCGACCCTTGAAGGCCACTTGCAGCACGTAGGTAGCATGCACACCACCCCGGTCCGGCAGCTCTGTGAACACGTACCCCGATGCGTAAATGCCGCCGCGGACGATGTCGTACACGGACGTGTCGAGCGGCGGCGCGCCGTCAAGCGTCACCGAGTGCGTACACGAGATCCACGTCGGCCGGTCATTCACGGTGCGGAGCTCGCGGCTCTGCACGTACACGAAGTCGCGGTCACGCATCACGGCACTCATGCTCTCGATCATGGCCCAGTTCAACGTCAGATTGTCGTTGATCTTCATGAGCAGTTGGGATCCGCGCACGTGGGTTTCCGTCGCTTTGGCGAACTCGTGGCTGTCCTTCGTGCGCGAGATGCGCGACAGCATGATGTCCTGGATGTCGTCGAGACTCGCGTGCAGGGTCGCAGACACGCACAACGTCATCACGTCCTCGTTGGTTGACTTGGGCGGCATGGTTGTGTAGTGGAGCGCGCGGCGGTTGTCGGGAGGGTTGCAGGCCGCCGCCATGTGCAGCAGTTCCTGCATGCTTCTCTTGCATACGACGCGGAGTTGGTCTGCTTGCGTAAGGGATACCTTCGGACGGAAGCCAGGGTTGATCGCCAACATGTTGTGCGATCGGGACAGTGAGCTATAATGTCCGATTGCAATGCTGCTGGATCGTCGAACGAGTAATGGTGTGACGGGTTGATGTCATCCAAAGCATCGGTTTAACGTCATATCTTCATGCTTTATACGGATGGAATTTGGCCCAAATTCGATAGATTTAGTTGATCAGATGGTCAATTAATTCGAGTATAGAAATATTGGCCAATAGGATCGTTCTATTCACCCATGCTTGATGGTTGCATCAGCTACTACGTATTAATAGTACCTCGAAGTACAAATGTTAGTATTCGTCTTCCAGGTCTAAACTTCGGCAACCAAATGTTGGGTTCCAAGGCCGTGAAGCTAAGGCCACCCATACGTCGAGACAAGTTTCGACAATGCATTTGTAGAGGAATCTGGCGAAATACTAATTTAAGGAATATAATTCCAATCTAATGTCGAAAATTGATGTACCGAAAACTCTCTATTGTTCTTTTACCCAATTTTTGGCTTCGCCAAGCCTATCGATTGCTTGTTTGTACTGACTTTTGTATGTAAAACTCGTCCCGTGTCACACTAATATTGGTCGAAGAGTGATTTGATTGGCTACTTGATTAGTTTTTGATTGGTCGATCGATTGTCTTGCTACAGTACCGACGGATGTCATCTAAAAACTTCCAACTAGCCAAATCGAAGCGTGGAGGTTTTATTATTTAACGTACAATTAATGTAGTTAAACCCAAAAGTCAAATATGTTACAGTAAATACCTACCGTATTTCATGCGATTTATCACTGCAGTGGAGGTTAAAGGTCCCAACTTCCTCCAGATATTATATACGGATAAGTGTCACATACAAAAATCAAGATATGGCCAAATATCCAAGCGCCCATGTAAAATATCGCTAGGTTAAATATCTATTTCTGGACCAATTCATCACCAAATTTGAATCTGAGACGTAGAATGTCTTCACCACAGTGAGATCTGTCGATTCTACGTCTCAATTTGCTGAAAAATTGAGTACTTTAGTTAAGTACTGGAGTATGAAATAGAAGTCAGAAAATTTTGTGAAAAGTTGGTTATGATGCACCATACTGTTCACATGTCAGTACGAGTATACTATATTACTAATGTTAGTAAAGTACTGTATTGTACTACGTAGTATTAGTAAGTATTGCTGCACCAAGACAATTGATTACATGACATTTAAATGTCAGGATATTGGTTTACAAACACCAAGTCAAATATAAAAAGACAACTTCCATTTGCACTGGAAACTTATTCGTCGAAAATCTAGTCATTCTGGCTGCATGTTTCGAGCGTCTTTGGGGATGTGTGACGTAGCTCCGTTTATCGAGATACCCCATTGAGACAGCAGAAACCCCATGTACAGTTTAATCCCCAACCTGTCAACCTCGTTTCAATATATAACGTCAATAGTTATTCTGATACTAATAAGACTATCATGGCTACTCGTGGGTTAAGAACTGCAGGCGCTGCCACACCATCTGCACCGTGTGCGGCCGCGCGGTGCCCCCGTGAGTGTGGATCACTTGTCTGATGGTGGTCTTGACCAGGTCGGGACTCCATGACTTGGGCAGCACGCCAAATTGGCTCAAAATCCACTCGTCTTCGTCTTCCGTCCAACAATCTAAGCACCATACATCATTATCGAAGAAATCGGCAGACGATCGACCGACCAATCAAAACCCAGAATTCGAATCAAATGGCCAATCAAATTCTCCCTTCAGAACCAGATGAATAAAGTGCGACTTCAATTAGTGTGTAGGGCGACAACGCTTCACATTTACACTGTCAGTACACATCATCATCAATGGAGTTTGGCGAACCAGCACAAATGTCCAAACTTTGGCTGAAACGACAATATATACATATATCCCAAATACCATACTATCCACCTTCAAAATAGATCCATCCAGTAATCCTATATATAAGCCTGGAATGTATATATCCCCTACACGAATCGATCCACTCTTTATCCAATACGAATATTTATATACATATATACAAATAAATAAATCAAATAGTGAATACTATATATATATATATATATAAACCATGACATATATATATATATATCGAAAGACTCATCACAGTACCTAACGGCATTTGGCCACGGAGGTACTTGAACGCGACGCGGGGATTGCCCGAGCACGAATACAATGCATGGGTCACGACGTGACGTGGCATGCCCGTCGTCGTGGCGAGTAATTCCGTCATCCGATCTACTTGCTCGTCTGAGGCAATTCCTCGGGCCACCGGCGTGAATGCTGTATTCACTCCCGGTGTCGCAGATGAAGCCAGTTGGTCGATGGGGGTGACGTTTTGCAAAGTTGTGGACGATGAACTTGTACAAGGTGGTGACGTGCGTCTGGTAGCACCCGTGGAAGACTGTTCAGGTGTGAAAGAACGCGCGCGTGGCGTGTGAGATGCTGTATCTGGCGATTCTGCGACAACGTTAAGAGGTGGGGCCTCAAGGGGCATCGGTCGCGGCGACTGGGAAGGCGACGACGAGACGTCGATCACGTCGGGTGGTTGAGGTATCGAGCTGGCAGTGGTAAACAGATTTGGCAAGAGGGTGTCCAATGACGGGGATGGCCTCGGCGGTGGAGATGACGGCGATGGCGGGAGATTGGCCGACGGAGGTTGCGCTGCTGCTCGGGGTGGACTCGGTCGATGCGACGCCAGGAGGTTCGTCTATTATTCACAAATATGCGATAACGTGTATCAGATCTATGGGGAAGCGCCATGCCGTGGGTAGTTACATAGTATATCTGCACGAGCGCATCTTTTTCCGCGGCGGTCTTGTGGATCAGTTGTTTGCGATAATGCTCGTGCATGCTTTCGGCCGAGTGCGACGTCACCTACGCTCGTAGTGTTAGCATGTTGTTCCTGACACCATCAAGACGGGTCGTCTCACACCTGGTTTCGTGCCGCCAGTTCCCAGAACGCTCGCGGTAGTTTCTGGTTGATGTCGCGCTTGCGATTCTACCAGTATGAAGATGAGGGAGATGTGTCTCTCGTTTGGAGGTAGGTACGTACCCGAGCAAAGGCCAACATGGCGCCGCGCTCGATGTTCGTGTATTGCCTGCGCCCGCCGCCATGAGGCGTTAACCGTCGTTGATGCGGTGGCGTGTCGGTCCAATCCGCCGTGAGCATGAAGCGTTCGCGATCCAACAACTGCCCCGCCGCGATGCACTCGGCGATGTAATCGATAGCCAAGTAATTCGGCGCACGTTTGAGAAGACGGACGCGCTCCATGAGCACAGTTTGGTGCGGCAAGTGCGACAACGTCCTCACCACCGTGCCTCCATTGGCCTATGGGACACCATGTGAAAAGGGCGAGGCCGATAATCTCACCCACCTCGATCAGATCCCGAGCATGCTTGCCCTCTTCATTGCGCACCGAAATGGCAAACTCCATGCCAGCAAACAGTCCCGCCGCCGCCGCTCCTTCCGCCACTTCAGCCATGATTCAAGTGGAAGTGAGGACAAAGTATGTCAACGGTGGCATTCAAACGGACCAATCATGAGCCTTGTAAAATGTTATGCCCAGATCCTTTCAACCAATCACAGTCGCGCAAATCGTGGGAAAAACCCTTCGCTACGATTATCCCTCCACCCAGTAATAATATTAACTGAAAGTTATCCACAACGTTCTGAGATATTTATCTTACTGTTTCGAAGTACTACACCATTTTTCAATTGACTTGGACATTTTCTCGATGGATTCGGACAGGTCACTATTGGATTTAGTGACGTGCCCATTCGAATGAATGAGTGCCCAATGGATTTGGTACCCATGTTCGGTGTGCCCATTGGATTTGGCACGGCCCCCTCGTGTGCCCATTCGATATGCCCATGTGCCTTATAGAATTGGTTTGTACCCAACCAAACAACCTTTAGATCCTTCAAAAGTGTCGTGCTTGCATTCAATTAGGAAAACTCAAAAATGAATTCAATAAATCATCCAAAGGATGAAAATAAAACATTTGCAAGGGTTCATAATGAACCGTCTTGTACGTGAACACCACGTTTGTCGAGTTCACGATGCAAAGTCGATGTGGACACCTGACACTTTCGAATGATCTAAAGGTTGTTTGGTTGGGTACAAACCAATTCTATAAGGCGCATGGGCATATCGAATGGGCACACGAGGGGGTCGTGCCAAATCCAATGGGCACACCGAACGTGGGTACCAAATCCATTGGGCACTCATTCATTCGAATGGGCACACCACTCAATCCAATGGTATATCAACCGAATCCATCGAGAAAATGTCCAAGTCAATTGAAAAATGGTGTAGTAACGTTAGTATACTATTCGAGATCCCTCGCTATAACGTCAGTCCCCACTACTACAGCCACTACTATAGCCACTACTAGAGCAACTACTAGAGCAACTACTACAGCAACTGCTACAGCCACTACTAGAGAAACTACTAGAGCAACGGTAGTATCTAATGCGATAGCATCCGCTTCACGACCTTCTTCTGCGTCAGGCTGGACGACCGCGTCAGGTCCGTTTCACCCGTCACATCCAGTACACTCAACTCCCCCCGGAGGTCCTACCCATGAAATATTACCATCATTCCGTGGATATATCACCATC